AACCTTAATTCAGAAATGGGAATTATGTCAGGCACACCTCCCGTGAACTTTCTCAAATAACACACATGACAGGTGTTATGAATACCCTCTAGTTCTTTCGGTAATTCTAGCTTGTAAGCTTGATTCCCGATCCTCTAAAGAGCTTTTAAATGGTCCAATAAACCTTGGACTCAACTTTCCCCTTCTACCAAACCTTATAAGTCCCTTCCACGACGAGACTTTAAGTAAAACCGAATCTCCAACTTCGAATGATATCGGTTGTCTTTTCTTGTCAGCATAGCTCTTTTGAGCAGCTAACATCCTTTCCCTAATCACTTTCAACTTTCCAGCAGTCTGATGGACTATTTCAAGTCCCATAAGCTGCTTTTCCCCAGCTTCCAGTCACCATGACGGCATTCAACACTTTTCCCCATACAAAGCGTGATAAGGTGCCATCTTGATGCTTGAGTGGAAACTATTACCCTAGAAAAATTCTACTAAAGGTAAATGTTCATCCCAGTTACCTTGGAATTCCAGGGTACATGTTCTCAGCATATCCTTCAACGTTTGAATCGTTTATTCGCTCTGACCATCGGTTTGCGGATGGTAAGCTGTATCCAAACACAACTTGGTACCCAATTCCTCTTACAGACTCCTCCAACACCTTGAGGTAAAACGACTGTCACGATCGGATACAATCGTTAACGGAACACCGTGAAGCCTCACAATTTCATTCACATAAGAATTCGCAAGTTTATCCATAGACCATTTCTCGTTGGCTGCTATGAAATACGCACTCTTAGTGAAGCGATCAACGACCACCTAAATCATGTCGTGACTGTTCCTTGTTCTGGGCAGTTTAGTCACAAAATCCATAGTGATGTCTTCCCATTTGCCCATGGGTATAGGCAAAGGTTCGAAACTCCCATACGGTTTCTGATGTTGTGCCTTAACCCTAGCACAAGTTACACACTCGGCCACATACTTTGCAACATCGAGCTTCATCGTCGGCCACCAGTAATAGGGTTTTAGATCCATATACATTTTCGTACTGCCGGGATGAATCAAGTACATGGTTTTGTGAGCTTCTTCCATCAGAAGACCTCTTACTCCTCCCGTCTTAGATACCTAAATCCTATCTCTGAATACCTTCACTCCTTGACCGTTTGTATTAAACACCAACATTTTTTCCAAACGTTCCTCCTTTCGGTCATTTTTCTCTAAAGCTTCCTCCTGAGCTTTCTTTATACTTTCCACAACTGTCGAGACAACTTCAATTCTCAACGCTCTTGGCCTTTTCTTTTCAAGATTTACCTTCCGACTGAGAGCATTAGCAACAACATTTGCTTTACCAGGGTGGTAAAGTATCTCACAGTCGTAGTCCTTGAGTAACTCTAGCCAGCGTCGTTGCCTCATGTTCAATTCCTTCTCCATACCTTTAAGGCGAATACTACCGCTGCCAACTCCAGACCATGAGTGGGGTAGTTCTTTTCATGCTCTTTCAATTGCCTCGATGCATTCGCTATCATTTTATCCCTTTGGGTCAGAACACACCCTAACCCAACTTCTTTAACAATGAACGCGATACTTCTATTGATCGATTTGATCAAACTTTACTTCAATTCGGCTTAAGTCAACTGCTACATCGAACTTGGTTCTCTGAACCACATAACAAACTCATCGTAGTCGGACTTAATTTGATATGACCACTAGGGTCAGAATAACAGTCATCTTATTAGTCATTACCAAAACGATGGTAACGACAGACTAGAATAAGACGGAATCAATTATGAGTTCCTTGGTAACCTTGTGACTTTCCCTGATCCAAGTGTGAGTCATGTGCTTCCAGTAGTATAGATCTCTACTACTATTCACACCTACTCATACTCGTCCCAAGTACTGTATCGCAGTCCCCAAGTCCTAAAATCACAAAACAATTTAACACATACGAATGTGTCCAATTAATCATAAAATTTTCCTAGACTCTACTAGGACTTCTTCCATGCGTATCTTCAATCATCAATTCTGCTTCAACTTGGTTGGTGATGGAAATTCCAGACGATGGAACAACTTCAAGAATTACACCAACCATTCCATCATCCTGCCAATCGAAGGTGTACTTCAGACGTACCGTACCCCTCTAAACGTTCCGTTATTTTATTAGACATATTCTAAAGGCAAGATACCACTCTTATGATATCTTCTGATAGGTATCATTCACTATCATAAGCTTTTCATTTCCTCCATCTACTCCATTCTCTACGAGTCTTAACCATAACGTTTTTATACACCCAAACAGACGTTCGGTGTATGGGGCAAGAATTTAAGATAGGAAAGCTTTATTTACGATAGACGTATAAATCTCCTTATCACTTCGAAACGTTTACATGTTAGTTCTAATCTCGTAATCATACGCTTAGAATCCTACACACATAAGGTTTCCAGATCCGGTCGACAACAGACCATAGATCCGAACAAATAATAACATCATTATAGCTATAACACAAAACATTTAGCACATAAAAGCATTTTAGGCATCCTTCCTAAAATAAACTAGTGCTCGTGTCAATTTAGGTGTACTACCTAAAATATAATAGACACACTCAACTCACAATCATCGCTTAGCATTCTAAGTTTAAGTCTAGAAATCCTACAAATTTCTTAGTTCGCTTAAACTAATGCTCTGATACCAACTGTGACATCCCCTAATTTTTCGGCCAGAAAAGACCGATTTAATTTATGCTTTTTAAAATAAAATCAGAGAAATCTTTTCAAAAGATGTTGCGGAATAGGTCCCCAAAATAAAACATGATAAAAGTTTATCAAAATCCTTCTTTAAGAAGGTATATATTGTCCATATATATCAAAACCTCGGGATGTCATGTTCCGATACAGATCAAAAGCATAAACAAGACATTATAAGCCTTTCAACAGTTATTTACAACTACTGGCCTATAATCCAAAAATCTCTCATCGTCCTCCGACTATGCTCGGGGTCCACTACCTATAATCATAAAAAGCTGAGTGGGTCAGGCTTGGGAGCCTGGTGAGTATATAGGCTTTTCAACCCACAATAATAATAACTTATTAAGTTCACCAATCAACAATAACCCTGATTACCCATTCCCGTTGTCCTCACTTTACGTCCCTAAACACCTAACACAAAGGACTTATCCTAAGGAATATCATCGGGTTGGACACTACTGCTAAGGGGACTCCTCCGCCATACATGTCCTAAAGACAACCATGAGGGGGATTGGAGTACGCCAGCAAACATTTAGTTCACCAACACCTACAAGTTGCGAACTTGCCAGTGTGCCACTGGACTGTCTAGAAAAGTCTGTGGTCGTCATCTATACTCCGTTAGACGACTTCGCCAAGAACAACACCAACAACACCAACACCGACACCGACACCGAGGCAACTCACCATTTTAACACACACCGATTATTTTGTCTACCCATGTTCTACCCAACATATTTGTAGATAAAATACATATACAGTTTAAACTTGTATAAAACATCTGTTCAACAGTCACCTCAAATAAACAATTAATATATTTACACATAACACGTATTTTAAGGTAAATACTTCATATCTATGTGTAAAGTGAAAGTAACTACACACTCACTTGATTTAAAGAAAATCGGGCAGCAATTCGTTTCCTAAAACGATCGTTTCTAATAAAACCGGGAGTTTTATTGAGAAACGGGGCTCTACGAAGGTCGGGCTTCGAAACCGAAAAGATAAATTTTCCGGGCTTCTCGGGCACTTCGTGGCGTATTCCGGGGGTTATAATCGATACCGGGGCTTCGGGGGAATTTAGAATGAAAGAAATATGAAATTTAGGGTGAAAGGTGGCAAATTTCCAAAGTTACCCGGGAAGGCTCGCAGCCTTCTATTTATAGGGAGGAGCTTCTGATCGGACGGCTGAGAAGCCTCCAGGTGGTGCTGATCCGAGGGCTCGCAGGGAGGGCTCGCACATGGCTCGCACATGCGAAGGGTTGCTGGCCTCTTGGTGATTGGACCGAGGTCTAGGTCCGAAGTAGGGGCATCCGTGGCGGCCTTGCGAGGGTTTGGACATGTGCTAGAGGGTACGTGTCGCCTTCTCAGTGGACCACTTCGGATCAGGTCAGGAGTTCGGATGACTCAGCAGCTCGGAGACGTGGTTCGCATGACTCACCATTTTCAGACACGTGGCACGTTCTAAGCGAGGGTGACGTGGCAAAAACGTGACTATGCGAATTTTCTCGATTTTTGTGCAAAAACTTCTAAAATCCATAACTTTCGCATACGAGCTCCGTTTTTGACGTTCTTTATATGCACGCGTAGGTAAAATTACGCTCTAATTTTGACTTTAATTTTTATATTATTATTTTTAACATACCGGGACAGGAAATCCGTTAAAAATTCATAACTTCTTCATCCGACGTCCGTTTTCGTCAGACTTTTTTACCGTTGTGCTACTATTTATGAGACCTTCGATTCTCGTTTAGGTTGTGTCGGCTAAAAATCACTCGATCTAAAATTCGAGTTTTTAGCTGTCTACTGCTATGCCGAAACTTCGAAAAATCATAACTTCCTCATACGAAGTCAGATTTGGACGTTCTTTTTATACCTACTCTCGGTTTAACGAACACTACAAGTTTCGTTTAGATCACTAAGGCTAAAAAGTAGTTTATCAAAACTCACTTTTTACGTCATTCGGCACCGTGCCGGTTTTGTCGCGAAACTTCGACATGTCATAACTTCTTCGTTATAACTCGGATTTCGGCATTCTTTATATATCCGTAATCCTTCACGACCACTACAACTTTCTTAATAGATATCGGCTTTATCTAATATTTATTTTCGACGATCATTTTTATTCTTAATTAATTAACTCCTAGTAATTAAACATAAAACACATAAAACACATAATATTCACATAATTCCTTTTCATTTCTCCAAAATGAGTCACAAAGGTTAACCTAGACTATCAAGTCAATATTAATGCCTAGCCTAGAAACATGAGCATTACAGATTCTGTTGAGAGAACAAATCCATATGATCTGAAAACCTCCAGACGGCTTTCCTCGCCGCTCCACCTATCGACTGCTTCTTCTCCTTCTACTTCGATTTCCATTAGGATCGATCTCCACTTCTCGGTAGAAGTCGATTCATCACCAACAATTTCATCACTAGGCCCACGCGTCAGTCGATCGCAGCCACTCCACCGTGGTCCATCTGTGGCGACATCGCCTTCTACTTGACCATTATCGATGACCGACAGTCTGACCTCTTTCTATGAAGGTACTTCCTAATTCAAAAGAATGGTTCTCAAATATTTGTTTCCGAATCTCAATCTTCACTTCTATAACACATGTTCTTATGTCTCCCAGGCTTATAATAAGTGTATAATTATATGATTTATGGTAATCTGATTTCAAGCCTGTGAACCTTTGTATTTCTCATCTTCTTACTCTGTCAATTTCCAAACTCCAGTTAATTTTATATCATTAACCTTGCTTTTTTTTTTCGAAAAGAATGGTAAATTTACATGCATATGACGTGTTCGATAAAATGTCTGAATGAAAAAAAAATTAATTGAATTTCGGAATTGGAAGATTAAGTTAGGAATCTATATAGTTTCTGGTTTTACATTTGAAAAAAATTCTTATTCACTATTTGTTGCAACGGAAGATGAACACATCTGTAAAAGCTGTCATGACAGAAGGGAAGCTTGCTACAGATTTTGTAGGTATGTTGTTGAGTTGTTCTCATGTGTAGAATTCGGGCATCCTTTATAGATCTAGATTATGATAAGGCCTTTCACTTAATTCATCAATTTATTAACATATAATTTTACAGTCAAGGTGTAGACTAGGTAGTGTGGGTAAGACATATTTCTTTGATTTTACTTATTTATTTTGGGTGAAATTTTCATTTATGTTCCATTTCCATCCATTCAGGGTTGAATGAACGTGTTACTGGTCTTCCATTAAAGGGTTAGCCTTTGTAAGTTATCATGCCTTTTTCTTTCTTGCATTTATGTTATTATTTAGTTTGAAGGGTCAATTTGACAATTGGTATCAACATGGTTTTCAGGGAATTGACATTTTATGCCCTGCGTTGTTGGATTACCTAGAGGCAGTCAAAGTATGAAAGATGGTCCACCCACAAGAAATGATGGATTTGTATGCTCCCGGGATTTCGTTGGGGTTAAAGAAACAATCACCTGGTTCGTGTGAGTTTTCTTTTGTGCTTTGTTTTGCAATTTTAAATGTTTAAAGGCAGTGTTTTTGATTTCTTTTTTTGAAATTCGTCAGTAAATTGACAGATAAATCATTTTGGAAAGTTCAATTGCTCTGAAAAATAGATCGACTGATGCTGCAGTTGGACGTCTTGCAAACTATTGTTGAGGAATTCAAACAAATGAAGCTATTTAAGAATGTATTTTTAATTTTAATTGTGTAAATATATGAAATAAACCTAATGTGAGGTTCTTTTTGCAGATTACAGAAGACCCTTTAATCCTCTTTCATCTCCGTCGCATGTTGCCTGCACCACCAAAGCTACGTCCGTTTGTTTTTTATGCGGTGGCGTCTCTGAAGCAGGTGATAGCGACGTCTGGGAATCCAGGATTTTTTTTCTTGACGGATTCTTATTGAAGACTCAGTTTCCTGTTTCTTTATCTACTCTGTATGCTGACTATCTACTTTATTCAAGTATCATCTTTACTATGGGAATTATGATCTTGGTCCATGACTGGAGGTGCTCATTTTGAGTTTTCAACTTCAAAATTGTTTGACTTCTTTATCAATTTTAATACAATTTGCAGAAAAAGAACTCGTTGGTCGCCAACATCTTTTAAAAAAAACCAAGAACAAACATATTCGAAAACCCAGGAGCCACAGGACGAGTATCCCAAAGGAAAGAAATGGTAATTTCCAATCCTCTTCCGTGACAAAAAAATAAACGTAATTTCTGAAATTAAGTTCAAGTCTTGAATGAAAAATATGACATTAATGAATGAATTTTGGTTTTAAAAAAATAATACTTGGAAAATGTTTATAACCTATGAAGAATTAAGTGAAAGGCCAAATTAGTTCATTTTGACAGCTTTGAATTTCTATCAAAGTCAAACATAGAATGCAAAATCAAAATTACTTTGAATGCTCTTAATGTATGTTGGAATAGAGTTCCGATTCATAAAGTACTATTGGTAATAAATTACAAACATAAAATAATCAAAGAATTTGAGCTTTTCAGCTTAGCGATAATAAGTTGGTAAAAGGGTAAAAATGTGATTTCTGCCTATCACTGATTTTCGTTTGTCTCCTTTTCATCCTATTTTTGCATTCTCTGTACGTGAACAAGGTGGTGGACATCAACATGCTACAGTAAGGTCTTTTTCAAGTTTGCAACATTTTTAATTTTTTGCTAAATTTGAAACTAATACTATCATTTTCTTTATTACGAACCACTAAATACAACTACTCATTTTTAATAATTATTTATTTTAATATTGCATGTCACATGGAAGCATTTGTATAAATGCAGTAAATAGCAACATACTTTGAATTTCATGTTTTTTTTTCTTTTTCTTTTGATATTTTTCTCCAACAACCTAACTACATTGCCATTAGGTGCATTTTCTATTTTTTATACTAAAATGCCCTAAATAGCAATGTACTTTGAAGTTGTACCTATTTTTTTCTGTTTTTTTACATTGCAATTTGTTGACTTTTCCATTTTTTTAGCTTATAAATGTAGTAAATAGTCCGTAAAACTTACGCATGCCCAGAGAGGGTAATTTTTTATGATCACTATGAAGGCCACTTTCGGTTTACGCAGAATATTCCTTCACATGTTAAAAATCGTTCTTACCTCTCACTAACATTCTAATATTAATGCATGAATGTTTCATTTTTGTGTTAAGCTTACCTATTCACCCATTGTCGTTACAAATAAATATATGGAATTTTACTTGGATCCTTCTCTTTTTTGTTTATTGAAGCTTATTCTAAAAAAAAATAGACAAATCCATGCTATTTTTCGAAGGTTTTGTCATAATGAATCATCTTCCTACCGTTTATGGTTATCAAAATGAAAGACCATTGTCCTTTCACTGTACCAAATGACAAAAATAACATTATGTTGCCTTTTTCATCAACACCAACATACTAGGTAACACAAAATACATACTGCTATTTTTTAACATGCTTCATTTACAAGTGCAGATGATTTAAATGTACCAAAAACATTGATAAAAAATATCCTTACTATTTAAATGCACCAAACATGTAAATGCATTGACCAAATATATAATTTTTACTGTTAGGAGTAATTTTAATATTTTCATGCTCACTGTTGGTTTAACAACCAACAAAATTGCCATTTTTTCTGACCTTTGTTGATATTGATACATTCAAATTTGTTACTTGGCTTTTGCAGATCACAATTCGATATCAAGGTCAATCCCTTATTTCAATAAGATGGAAACCAGAAGAAATTCAAATTTTAGAAAATTATACTGCAAGATTGGGCACATATGTTTTTTTTGTTGTACTATTACTTTTGGAGTTGGAATCACCATACATCAGATTGGTTTAAATATAAATATTGTTGATTCAGGTACAATTAAGTTTTGAAATAGATAAAACTAATCCTAATTATGCAATTTTTTTAAATTGTTGTCATTTATGTATTTTTTAGGGAGGGATCATTTTTGATGTTTTTTTTAAAGCAGACCATTTCAACATTTTGTAAATATGAAATATTTTTTGAAATAACCAAAAGTTTTCCTAATTATAGCAATGTACATCGAAAGTATAATGTTATAACAGAAAACCGACACCTTCCGTCCCGCGCAACGCACGGGAAACCTTCTAGTTTATATTTATTTTTCTAATTATTCTTTAAATCTAAAAATCAAAAACAAGTAATGGGTTTTTAGCAAGGATTTTCAAATGTATATTTTCTATCAGCTGGATAGAAATATAAGGGCGAGAATGCACCGAAGTAACAAAATGGAGTCAAACTTTCACTTCGGGGGACAAATTTAATGTGGTGTTTGGTGTTCAATTTATCAATGAACATTAGAACTTATTTACCCCTAAAGCTCCTAACAATTATGCATTTATTGCATGTTCAAAGTTCTTTGACTTTAGGCACTCATTTGAAGCTAAACGAGAGATAGCATGAATGTTTGATCATATGATGTTTTTATATAGTTTCAAATGGGTTGTGGTGACGGTCTAACTAATGTGTCAATACGCATTTGGTTCAAGATTTGCAATTTCATTGCAGCGTTTTAATGAAGCTAGTGAGATATGTCATGAGTTGTGGTCATACACTGTGCTTACAAAGTGTCTCAAACAATTGAATCACAAGCGTAAATGGAGCAATCAAGTTTGACAAAGATCATAAAGTTATCTGGAACTGGATGATTTCTGGAGTTGTCTCCTACAAAATTCATCAAGTATGGTCATTCCTTCCAAAGATCATTGTACCTTTCATGATTTGACGGTGACATTTCGTAAGTCAAGTATGTAACTATTGACAATCCTTGTCCCTGGAAGCATGCTTTCCGTATGTATCAAGCCTCATTTTCTTCTAAAACGTCGAGCATTACCCAACGACTTACCTTGATTGCATAGTCATCATCGTAAGAGATACTTGTCTGGTCCTTAAATGACAAAGGGTTATTCATGTCCTTTACCTCCTAGTCTGAGGTATGACATGGTTCCATTACGAATTGATGGTAAATCTTTGATTCTAGACTGCAACTAACTCTAGGATACAACGATTAAACCACTTCTTGCTGATGAGTTATACCCCGTCATTGATGTACACTGATTTCACCTCAACGTGATTGAGACATTCTACTTCTTTCCCACAAGTCTTCTTTATAAGAATTTGATGATTCACTATGAAAAACCACACACTGATAAAAGTTCGAAAGTTTGTGCCGATGGTTAAGCTATGTGATGTAGTTTATCACACGCACCAACTCATTCTTGCCCTTCAATTCTTCTTAAAAGTTTTATGATTCAGTGTCAAATGCTAGACACTGATGAGAACTTGAAAAATCTTTGCCAATGGGTATATCATGTACCCTGATATATTACACGCACATACCCACTCTCGCCCTTATTCGTCTAATATAAGTGGTTAAGGATTCAGCGTATAAAACCATACGCTGATGAAACTTCACAATTTTGTGTAAATGATATGCTATTACAACAATAAAATAATGTGATACACCAAATCCTCTCCCATTTGTTAACTTTATTTGATGTTTATATTATTTCAGGTTACTTATTGTCTTTCAAAAAATCAAAAAAAGAAGGCAGTGATTACTGATGCTGTCAAAAAGGGGGAGAAATGTTTAGTTTTGCTATGTTTTCACTTGATCGTTCATACAATATCATACACTCTTGAAAGAAGAAGGTTATTTATCTAAGGGGGAGCATGTATCATATGTTTTCTATATGAACGGGAGCTAAATCTAAGGGGGAGCAGATATCAACATTCTATCATATCATTATTGTCTATCATTCCGCTGCGACTCATGATACACTGATTGTTTCCGCTGCTCTTATTGCTTCTGCTGTTGATAACCAAGAATAGGGAAGAGTCATACACCTTTTTAGGGGGGGGGGAGATAGTCATACCAGGAAATTTTTTGGAAGATTAGTTTTAATATCATCAGATAGGGTGAGATTGTAAGGTCACGCAGTATGATCTGATGAGTCAAACACTACATGTTGACCACTAACGCCAGCATCAGCGCCAACACCAACTTAAGTATGATTAATGTCAGCATGATCCCATGATCTTAGTGATCATTGTAAATTAGGAAGATATCATATGTATATTAGGCAGTTATACTATGTATATATAGAATAGATGTATGATCCCTAATCTTAGTGATTAGGATTAGACCTTTACATATATTAGTTTATATTTAGATTAGATACAATCACTTGATTGAAAGGACCCACTACAACAAATTAGTATAATTAACATTAGGGTGAAACCTTAATGTACATCTTTGTGACCTTCTTTGTGACCTTGTTCTCTTTGTGAGACCATTCTTTTTTAGTGAAAGTATCTTTGTGATTATACGTGTTATTTAGTTTTCTGTTTAATTTTTGCTTTGTTTTTTGTTCTTTGTTACTCACACTTGACTGTATCCGATCGATACAAAGCTTCAGTAACGGCTACATCTTGTCGTGGGGTCTCTGATGTTTGGCCTTGACTTTCTGGCAAGTCAAGCACCGCTCCACAAACCATGCCATCTCCCTCTTCATATAGGGCAATCAGTAACTCAACCTCAAATCCTTATCCATCTTCATGGCCCCCCGGATGGATCGAAAACTTCGATTTATGAGCCTCCTCCAATAGTGTCTGCCTAACCCCTCCAGCATCCGAGACCCAAACCCCACCACACTGAGTCAGTAACCTGCGACTATTCGCGACAAACAATAGAATCCGACCCATGATTCGCTCCTCTTTCCAATTTTCCTTCTTAAACACTTCCACTTGAGCCTTCTCAATCATCTCTAACAATGTATAAATAATAACCATCCTAAAACACAGCTCCCTGATGGGTACACTCGTGGCCTTGTGGATCAAGGCGTCGACCACACCATTGGCCTTCCTAGGATGATACAAAATTTCGCAATCATAATCCTTCACCACATCCAACCACCTCCATTGTATCATATTTTAGATTAGGCTGATCCATCAGATATCTCAGGCTCTTGTGGTCAGTGTAAATAGTACACCTAACCCCATACAAGTAATGTCTTCATATCTTGAGGGCCAAAAATACAACCCACAACTCCAAATCGTGTGTAGGGTAATTCGCCTCACGAGGTTTCAGCTGCCTCGAAGCGTAAGCAATCACATGACCTCTCTACATGAGTAAAACTCCCAATCCCGAGAGAGAGGCGTCACAATAAACCACAAAATCATCCATACCCTCGGGAAGAGTGAGAATCGGGGCCTCGCATAATTATTGACTTAGTGTCTCAAAGGATGCCTGCTAATCAGCCCTGCATTGGAAAGTGTCATTTTTCTTTGTCAAACGAGTCAATGGTACAAGGATCTTGGAGAAATCCTGGATAAACCTCTGATAATAAGCTGGAAGACCAAGGAAACTCTTAATCTCAGATGGTGTCCTCGGAACCTCCCACCTCATCACCTCCTCAATCTTGGCGGGTCGACCAATATACCCTTCTGGTAGACGACGTGCCCCAAGAACAACACCTCGCGCAACCACAACTTGCATTTGGATAATTGGGCATACAACCTCTCCCTCCTTACGGTCTCCAAAACCTCTCGCAAGTGCTCCTCATATTGCTCTTTGGTCTTAGAGTAGACCTGAATATCATCGACAAACACAATCACTAACCTATCCAACATCGGTCTACATACTCGGTTCATGAGATCCATTTACAATGTTGGCGCATTGGTGAGCCTAAATGGCATCACCACGAACTCGTAATGACCATAACGATATCTAAAAGCCATCTTCAGCACATCCTCCTCTCTGACCCTGATCTGATGATAACTGGACCGCAAATCAATCTTGGAGAACCAAGATACACCCTAGTGTTGGTCAAATAAATCATCAATCCTAGGAATTGGGTAATGGTTATTCATCGTTAACTTATTTAACTCCCTGTAGTCAATGCACATCCTGTGTGAACCATCCTTCTTTTTGACAAATATGATCGGGGCTCCCCATGGTGAACTACTTGGTCCAATAACCACCTTGTCTAGCAGCTCCTGCAGCTGCGTAAACAACTCCTGCATCTTTGGCGAAGATAACCGATATGGTGCTTTGGCTATCAGAGCCGCACCGGAAGCTAAATAAATCCGGAACTCAACATGCGTCTCCGGAGGCACTCCAGGAAAAACCTCGGGAAATACATCAGGAAGGTCCCAAACGATGGGCACCTCACTCACGGTTGTCATGCCCCAACTTGAGTATCTGCCACATAAGCCAAAATTCCAGAACAACCCTGCTGAATATATCTCCTAACCCTTGTGGTTGAACAGAGAGTCGGTCCATGCTGAGCACCCTCACCGTGAATAATCAATTATCCCCTACTTAGGGTTCAAACTCTCACTAACTGGTTCTCACAGTCAATTATGGCCCCATTAGGACCCAACCAATCCATCCCTATAATAACCTTCGACCCTCGTAGAGGAATCAGAAGCATATTAATAGAATATCTCTCGCTGAACATGTTCAGAACACATCCTCAATGAACCCGCGAAGCACTTACAACATGATCATTCGCAATATCTACCTCCAATGGATAATCCAAAATCCTAGGAGCATCGCTAAACTTCTTGCTAAGCACAAGAGATACAAAAGATCGGGTAGCACCCAAATCAAACAAAACATGATTCGTCATACCATTGACTAAGAAAGTCCCTATACATGATCGATAAAATATAAGCACAAAATAAAGAAAACAGTAAAAGATATGGCAAAGATACGTATCAGTAACCATATCTGATATTGCTCGAGCCTAATCGGTAGTCAGCTGGAATGCCTTGTTCTTCACCACATGTGCCTTAGACTTGACCTGGCAGCCGTCAGTGATACTTAAAGTGGCTGACGCA